CTAGAAACACCTCCCTAAAGAGACACTCTCTCTAATATCTCTTAAATCGGAAGAAAAATAAAAACACCGATACTTCTACATATTTAAGGAAATAATTAACTCTTTGTCCCACCATATTTCGAGGCTTCCGAATGTCCGGCATCAACCCTTTCAACACAATCAGTCAAACAAACAAATAAAATAAGTTTAAATAAAAGGAGTAATTTTAAAAAACACATTATGGGGGTCTAAATTTTTAAAAAATTTTATAATAAAATGGCTGTTTAGAGGGGAAGCATATGAAGTGATTGAGAGGACGCGATTAAAGAATTGCCTGACATTAATGAAAGAGAGGGGAGCGGAGAGTGTAATCAATTAATTGAGGTGAAGGAGCGCGCTTCATAGCATTGGCTGGCATTAATTGTAGAGGGGGGGGGGGAGGGGGGGGAAGAGAGTGATTGAAAGGACGCGATTAAAGCATTGACTGGCATTAATTAAAGAGAGTGGAGAGGAGAGAAGGAGCGCGCTTTAAAGAAAGAGCGCGCTTTAAAGAAGGAGCGCGCTTCCTTCACCTCCTCAATTAATGGAGGTGAAGTGTCGCGCTTCATAGCGTTGGCTGGCATTTATTATTGGGGGGGGGGGGAGGGGGGGAAGAGAGTGATTGAAACGACGCGATTAAAGCATTGACTGGCATTAATTATAGGGAGGGGGAGAGAAGGAGCGCGCTTTAAAGAAGGAGCGCGCTTCCTTCACCTCCTCAATTAATGGAGGTGAAGGAGCGCGCTTCATAGCATTGACTGGCATTAATTGTAGAGAGGTGGGGAGGGAAGAGAGGAATGCAATGGAGGTGAAGGAGCGCGCTTCATAGCGTTGGCTAGCATTAATTATAGAGGAGGGAGGGAGGGGGAGAAGAGAGGAGTGCAATCAGTTGAGGGAAAGGAGCGCATGATTATGAAATCTGCCTGGCATCGATTTTGTTTAAAAAAGTTTTATATGTTTACGTAAAAATTTAAAAGTTAGTTAAGAAATAGACTTGTTCTTGAAGCTATTCGTCAACTAGAAACCCAGATCAGCACCGCACGACAAAATTTTGAAAATTTTGATCTAATGTCTTCATTTTCAATATATGAAGATGAATCAGGAAAATTAAAAGAGATATTTGTTTGGGCAGATTGTTTTGCAAATATCTTTCTGTTAAAATGTATTTTAATGATATATAAGTAAAATTGTATATTGCACATAAAAATGATAATACTAAGATAAACTGCCCAGTATTTGGAAAAACATGAAAAATGTTCTTTATAAAGTTTCCCAAAGGAAAATATCTTAGCCATCTATTTGGATAAATCAAAAATCACAAGAGCTTAATAAACATAAGAATTCATGACTTACAGAAGGTCCATTGGAATAAATATTATTCTAATAATCCATTAGAATAATAAGTTAGAATAATTCAAAATAATCCATACACACCAGGGATGGGCGAAATCAAAAAATAAAAAGCGAAATGCGAAACTTTTTTAAAAAAATAAAATGCGAAATGCGGAATGCGAAACTTTTCGCGCCAAAAAATGCGAAAGATGCGAAATGCGAAAATGCGAAATTATTTAAAATTCAAAAAATTTTATTCATATTCAAAATTATAAATTACGAGATTATGATGCAAAAATAAAAGCATTTCTGCATTTTCTTGAATAAGACGTTTCCTCAGATTGTTTATTATTAATCCTGCACTACTAAACAACCTTTCTGCTTCAGCTGATGTACAAGGTGCTGATAGAAAGCGCGTTGCAATTTTGGATGAAATTGGCCATTTAACTGTATTGTCACCAGTCCAAAATCCATAAGGATCACATTCAATCGGAATCTTTTTTGCACGCAAATATTCTGTCACCTCAACCTTAAATATTGATTTAAAACAATAAGCAGTTTAAAGAAACCTCCGCTTTTTGGCGTGCGTTTAATGATTTTTTGCTAGGAAGTTCAAGTGCAAGTGGTTCAATATCATTTTGTTTTGAAATGGTTTTTTCACAGCGCTCAAAAAGTGAAAAAAATTCATTAGTTTTTTGTGTTGTAGATTGATCTTGTTCATTTTCAATCTCATTTCTCATCCAAATCCATTAAATCAATATCCTGATCTGTAATAACATCCAATTCATCAGAAATCTGAGATGTTGTTGCTGCTGATTCCGCAAATGCTCTAAATATTTAATTTGGAATAAAATTATTAAAAGCTTAAACCTTTTTAATGTCTGTTGCTGTGGCATTTTTGCTTTTCTTTTCGCTAAAAAATCATCATACAATTCTGGATGACTGCCACGTAAATGTGAGATTAAAAATGTTGTTGGCGCACGTGGCGGGTAGTTTTTTGAAAAACTACAACTTTTGCAGAACGCTACTCTTCCAGGAAGTGAGAAATACTTCCATATTAAAGACATTATAATTTTAAAAAATTTCTTAAAAATAAAAAAAAATACTTTAAGAAAAAGCGAAACAAATTTCGCATTTGGACCAAAAAGCGAAATGCGGAATGCGAAACTTTTCGCGCCAAAAAATGCGAAAAATGCGAAAGATGCGATTATGCGAAATCGCCCATCCCTGATACACACTCGGTTGTGCATTCGATCTGGATATCGGTGGATTAAAAGAGATATTAGAAGATTTGTGGGATTTAGCTTCATGGCTTTGCAGCGCTAAAATTGAAACCCAAGGAAACATTATAGCGTGCCTTTCCAAAGTCTAGCCACGAAATTGAAATTTTATTGTCGATTACTGTATCAACAGCTGATTAAATTCTATTTTGATATAATTATGATCCTAAAAGTGACTATTTTCCAATTTTTCGGTATGAAATATGGCAGATATGCCTGATAAAACGATACAAAAAATGAATCCTTTATCAATAAAAATGATTTAGTAAAATGAAAGGTAATCAGAAGTGACATTCTAATAATAACAAATGTTAATTGTTTAGACACAAGAATGAATTTATAAAAATGTCCATGAATGAACAAAATATCCAAATAATCTAATTGTAAATAAATAAAAAGAATTCATCAAAAGGTAGAAGTTGTACAGTCGTTCATGTTTTGATCTGGGCAATCTATCTCTCTCTCATTCTCTCTCTCTCTCTCTCATTCAAATTTTGTTTACCTAGTGATCGACGGCATCGTAATATCAACTGTATTTTTGGTATTTTTTGTCATTTTTTCCCGTAATTTTTCTGTTATTCTTCGTATATTTATCGGTATTAAGCGGTAGTAAGGAATATGATACGGTGTCATTTTAATTTAAACGGTATATATCGTTATTAGTTGGGGTTACAAGAACGAATACGGGTGGTACGAAACTCGATCACTAGTTTTACGTCAAAATAATAAAGAGGCGCAAAAAATAATATGAAAAATTAGAAAACTTGTTAGGCCCGGGACTTAAAACAAAAAAAAATTCATAACCACTAATAAATGTAAAAATCAAAAATCCTGAATTGGGAACCATAATGTGATTTAAAATCTAAAAAAATAAAAATAAAAAATGAAATAAATATATAATCTTTCTAATAATTTTGTAGCTCCAATCAATCTGTGCATTTTGTAGCCTTATCCTCCTTATGTAGACATAAATTCCTTGCTAAATTAAACGAAATATTAATCATTCTCTCAAATATTCAGATAATATGATTTTACAACTTGTTATTAATACCTATACATTTTCAAGCATAGATCGATGTTTAGGGGTTTCTGCGGTTAAAAAGCGGTTTTTTATAAGACTGGATTAGGCAAAAGGCGGATCCTGGAGATGGAGTATTTTAATTAATGTTGCGTGCTAAGTCTATGTTTGGGTTTACATTATTTCTGTCGGATCGGGGCTCGTGTCACAAAAATTTTGAGTTTCGGGTAACCCGACTCCTCAACGGTCAGAACCTTAATCAAATAAATTTGATTAAATCAAACCCTAATTTCTTTTGTTCATCTTTTGAAGGAAAGGATGCAGATTTTGATAAATTTTTATCCTTTCCAATGTTTAATATTCCGGGTGAATTTTTCATAAAAATTTCGTCCATACTCTTAGCTCTACGTAGCATGCTGCTACCTTCCCCTCTATGTTCACCAATCTTCTGTTTTGGATGTTTCTCCTTTTTAATATCCAAATGTTTTGGTGAAGTTGATATTTGAGGAACTGTTTGAATATGATGAACTGCTGGAAACCCTAATTTCTTTTGTTCATCTTTTGAAGGAAAAGATGCAGATTTTGAAAATTTTTTTTCTTTACCAATGTTTATTCCGGATAAATTTTTTGTAGAAATTGTGTCCATACTCTTAGCTCTACGTAGCATACTGCTACCTTCTCTATCCTTAACAATCTTCTGCTTTAGAAGTTTTTCCTTTTTATGATCCAAATGTTTTGTTAGAGTTGATGTTTGAGGAACTGCTGGTGATTGATGAACTGCAGGCAACTTCTTTTTTAAGTTTTCAACTCGGGTTCCTATCGAATTCACATTTCTTACATTCAACCAATCTTTCAACGTAACAAAATCCTTTCTTTTATCAATTTTACTTTGAGGGTGATATTGACTTTTAAATTTTTCTAAGAAATTTTCAATGTTTTTGTTGAGGATCCTCTTTTCAGGTAAATAACGGAAACTTCCCGTTTCGTTTAATATATCTTAATTTATTCAATTTAATTTTTTGCTTTATTAAAAATGTTTTTAGTATATGGAAAAATATTAAAATTAAATATATGCATTCGATGCTAATTTTTGAAAACCTTTGAGATTGAAAAAATTGTACCTATCTTATAATCATTTATTAAAAAGGGAGTCGAAAGAAACTTTTTTAACCCTCTACGACAAAAGAGAGTCAACACAAAACAAAAAATTTGGTAAATATACAGTGAATAATCAAACTATATTTACATTGCGTTTCAAAATATTCCTTTTATACGTTTCAATTAATGTATTTTTTAATACGTTGTAAAGTTTGCTATTTCATAGAAATTTTTATAACATTTTTTATCTTTTACTATTTATTAAAAATATTCTTACCATATTCATACTCCAAAACTCCCAGTTGTCTCTCAAATTCAAATTCCTTCACTGTTTCTTCATAACACTCATCCTTTTTAAATTCTTTTATCATCACCATGTAATTAAAAACAGATAACAAGCCAAACTTATCTTTATCCATGTTTTGCAAATTTTTGAGTTTTAAAAGCTCCGAATTTTTTTCCACAAAATTTTTTTCTTCGTCTTTTACCTCCTCCTTCAATTTGCGCACCTTTTCTGATTCTTCTTTCCTTTTTAATTTTTCTTCTTCAGTCATATTGACTTCCTTTAATTTTTCATTCTGATATATTTCCTTCTCTTTTGCGCTCATTGCTAATTCATCTTTAGCTTCTTTTTTTGTTGAAAATTTCCCATCGTGTTCTCTAAATTGTGCTTTTAAACTATTTTTAATTTTTATTTCCTCCAATTCATTTTTTAATTTTTCTTCTTCCTCATTATTTTCTTCAACAATACTTGTTTCTCCCTGTTTTTCTTTTTTTGCTCTCAATTCCTTCAATTTCTTCTCCAATTCTTTTGTTTTTTTCAGAGTTAATTCCCTATCTTTTGCTGTTATTTCTTCAATTTCATCTTCTAATTCTTCTTTTTTCAGAAATCTGAGATGTTGTTGCTGCTGATTCCGCAAATGCTCTAAATATTTAATTTGGAATAAAATTATTAAAAGCTTAAACCTTTTTAATGTCTGTTGCTGTGGCATTTTTGCTTTTCTTTTCGCTAAAAAATCATCATACAATTCTGGATGACTGCCACGTAAATGTGAGATTAAAAATGTTGTTGGCGCACGTGGCGGGTAGTTTTTTGAAAAACTACAACTTTTGCAGAACGCTACTCTTCCAGGAAGTGAGAAATACTTCCATATTAAAGACATTATAATTTTAAAAAATTTCTTAAAAATAAAAAAAAATACTTTAAGAAAAAGCGAAACAAATTTCGCATTTGGACCAAAAAGCGAAATGCGGAATGCGAAACTTTTCGCGCCAAAAAATGCGAAAAATGCGAAAGATGCGATTATGCGAAATCGCCCATCCCTGATACACACTCGGTTGTGCATTCGATCTGGATATCGGTGGATTAAAAGAGATATTAGAAGATTTGTGGGATTTAGCTTCATGGCTTTGCAGCGCTAAAATTGAAACCCAAGGAAACATTATAGCGTGCCTTTCCAAAGTCTAGCCACGAAATTGAAATTTTATTGTCGATTACTGTATCAACAGCTGATTAAATTCTATTTTGATATAATTATGATCCTAAAAGTGACTATTTTCCAATTTTTCGGTATGAAATATGGCAGATATGCCTGATAAAACGATACAAAAAATGAATCCTTTATCAATAAAAATGATTTAGTAAAATGAAAGGTAATCAGAAGTGACATTCTAATAATAACAAATGTTAATTGTTTAGACACAAGAATGAATTTATAAAAATGTCCATGAATGAACAAAATATCCAAATAATCTAATTGTAAATAAATAAAAAGAATTCATCAAAAGGTAGAAGTTGTACAGTCGTTCATGTTTTGATCTGGGCAATCTATCTCTCTCTCATTCTCTCTCTCTCTCTCTCATTCAAATTTTGTTTACCTAGTGATCGACGGCATCGTAATATCAACTGTATTTTTGGTATTTTTTGTCATTTTTTCCCGTAATTTTTCTGTTATTCTTCGTATATTTATCGGTATTAAGCGGTAGTAAGGAATATGATACGGTGTCATTTTAATTTAAACGGTATATATCGTTATTAGTTGGGGTTACAAGAACGAATACGGGTGGTACGAAACTCGATCACTAGTTTTACGTCAAAATAATAAAGAGGCGCAAAAAATAATATGAAAAATTAGAAAACTTGTTAGGCCCGGGACTTAAAACAAAAAAAAATTCATAACCACTAATAAATGTAAAAATCAAAAATCCTGAATTGGGAACCATAATGTGATTTAAAATCTAAAAAAATAAAAATAAAAAATGAAATAAATATATAATCTTTCTAATAATTTTGTAGCTCCAATCAATCTGTGCATTTTGTAGCCTTATCCTCCTTATGTAGACATAAATTCCTTGCTAAATTAAACGAAATATTAATCATTCTCTCAAATATTCAGATAATATGATTTTACAACTTGTTATTAATACCTATACATTTTCAAGCATAGATCGATGTTTAGGGGTTTCTGCGGTTAAAAAGCGGTTTTTTATAAGACTGGATTAGGCAAAAGGCGGATCCTGGAGATGGAGTATTTTAATTAATGTTGCGTGCTAAGTCTATGTTTGGGTTTACATTATTTCTGTCGGATCGGGGCTCGTGTCACAAAAATTTTGAGTTTCGGGTAACCCGACTCCTCAACGGTCAGAACCTTAATCAAATAAATTTGATTAAATCAAACCCTAATTTCTTTTGTTCATCTTTTGAAGGAAAGGATGCAGATTTTGATAAATTTTTATCCTTTCCAATGTTTAATATTCCGGGTGAATTTTTCATAAAAATTTCGTCCATACTCTTAGCTCTACGTAGCATGCTGCTACCTTCCCCTCTATGTTCACCAATCTTCTGTTTTGGATGTTTCTCCTTTTTAATATCCAAATGTTTTGGTGAAGTTGATATTTGAGGAACTGTTTGAATATGATGAACTGCTGGAAACCCTAATTTCTTTTGTTCATCTTTTGAAGGAAAAGATGCAGATTTTGAAAATTTTTTTTCTTTACCAATGTTTATTCCGGATAAATTTTTTGTAGAAATTGTGTCCATACTCTTAGCTCTACGTAGCATACTGCTACCTTCTCTATCCTTAACAATCTTCTGCTTTAGAAGTTTTTCCTTTTTATGATCCAAATGTTTTGTTAGAGTTGATGTTTGAGGAACTGCTGGTGATTGATGAACTGCAGGCAACTTCTTTTTTAAGTTTTCAACTCGGGTTCCTATCGAATTCACATTTCTTACATTCAACCAATCTTTCAACGTAACAAAATCCTTTCTTTTATCAATTTTACTTTGAGGGTGATATTGACTTTTAAATTTTTCTAAGAAATTTTCAATGTTTTTGTTGAGGATCCTCTTTTCAGGTAAATAACGGAAACTTCCCGTTTCGTTTAATATATCTTAATTTATTCAATTTAATTTTTTGCTTTATTAAAAATGTTTTTAGTATATGGAAAAATATTAAAATTAAATATATGCATTCGATGCTAATTTTTGAAAACCTTTGAGATTGAAAAAATTGTACCTATCTTATAATCATTTATTAAAAAGGGAGTCGAAAGAAACTTTTTTAACCCTCTACGACAAAAGAGAGTCAACACAAAACAAAAAATTTGGTAAATATACAGTGAATAATCAAACTATATTTACATTGCGTTTCAAAATATTCCTTTTATACGTTTCAATTAATGTATTTTTTAATACGTTGTAAAGTTTGCTATTTCATAGAAATTTTTATAACATTTTTTATCTTTTACTATTTATTAAAAATATTCTTACCATATTCATACTCCAAAACTCCCAGTTGTCTCTCAAATTCAAATTCCTTCACTGTTTCTTCATAACACTCATCCTTTTTAAATTCTTTTATCATCACCATGTAATTAAAAACAGATAACAAGCCAAACTTATCTTTATCCATGTTTTGCAAATTTTTGAGTTTTAAAAGCTCCGAATTTTTTTCCACAAAATTTTTTTCTTCGTCTTTTACCTCCTCCTTCAATTTGCGCACCTTTTCTGATTCTTCTTTCCTTTTTAATTTTTCTTCTTCAGTCATATTGACTTCCTTTAATTTTTCATTCTGATATATTTCCTTCTCTTTTGCGCTCATTGCTAATTCATCTTTAGCTTCTTTTTTTGTTGAAAATTTCCCATCGTGTTCTCTAAATTGTGCTTTTAAACTATTTTTAATTTTTATTTCCTCCAATTCATTTTTTAATTTTTCTTCTTCCTCATTATTTTCTTCAACAATACTTGTTTCTCCCTGTTTTTCTTTTTTTGCTCTCAATTCCTTCAATTTCTTCTCCAATTCTTTTGTTTTTTTCAGAGTTAATTCCCTATCTTTTGCTGTTATTTCTTCAATTTCATCTTCTAATTTTTCCATTTTTCCATTATTTTCATTTAACTTCTGTTTCATTTTTGCAATTATTGTTGAGAAATCATTTCCAAAATGGATTACAACCATAGATAATAATTCTGAATTAAATTAAGGAATTTACTTGGATATAACTATCTTACTGTAATTTTAAGTGAAAACCAAAAACTCTCTTGTGATAGATTTCTGGGACTCCGTCCTGGAATCCCAGATAATAAGCTACAAACGGGATTACCTGATTTAAAGATTATCCCATTGGGTTTTCAGGATCCCGGATATTCGATTTGTCACATAAATGTGTTTAAGAAGCTGTGTTTATCTGTGTTTTTATGGCACACATATTACTGGCAATATTCTGGCCTTCTAGCTGATTTAACATAAAACATGTAGAACACAATATCTTATGTTAACTGCTATTTATGAATATAAATTATCACCTTCATATTTTCCATTCTCATTATAATTTATAATTCGTTTAACAATATCCTCATAATATTGTTTCTTTCCAGCAAATCCAGTTACAATCAACATTCTTTTAATGTACTCAGGCAATCTAATAAGTAATAGGTTTTACAGTCTTAATTTTGCTCTATTCGTTAGAGATCACAACGTCTCTACCCGTATACGATACTCGGTAAGCTTGCGGCATTTCGCTACATCCTAAACATCCCAGAAAGAGCTTCCTGATCCGGTAGAGATTCCCGATCCGGCAGTGAAGGGTTTTGAACCTAATTATCATGCTTCCCAGTTACCCGAAAGACATTACCGTTGATTATTCAAAATTTTTCTCATGCAGTTCATTGGTAAATCTTTCACAAACGCAGCAGCGATATCTGACTTAAATTCAATTTTTACGATGATATTTTCTAAAGCTATAGTTAATTCGTTATCCATGCTTGGATTATTGCAGAATTCTTTGATTTTGTTAGAAATCTACAAAAATAAAAATATTTTATTTGACTTTAAAGCTATTATTAAACTTTAAATTCTATTATTATTTGAGGGAGTCTTGATATTTTTTAAAGTAAAGGAGATCAAAGTGTCTAAAAACTGTATGAGAGGGTATAGCGACAGTAAGCGGTTAGGATTTTGGTGTTATGCCTGCCCGGTGCTAAATTTCCCGCACCCTGTATAAGTTAACAAAAGATCTCTAACCTCATGAAATTCTCCACCAAAAAATTTGTCATTTTGGAAAGATTCGACTCGTTTAATCAAAATTTCCCATATCTCTGTCATCTCTTGTTGATGTATTGTCAAGGATTGTTGATAAGTTAGATAATCATATAACTTTGAAACTTTCTTATTTTTCTTCATTTCCTTCATTTTCTCAAATCCTTCATACTTCATTTTATCTTGCTTTAATAACACTTTATTAAACATGTTAATAATCTGTTTCAGTTCATATCTTGGGCTTGCTAAAATAATTTCATATAAAATGTCAAAATCTATTGGATCCTCTAAAAATGTCAATTTCTAAAAATTTTTAAACTTAAATCTCGCCTGCTTTCAAGGTGGAATAAAGTCTCTCAGCTAGGGATTTGCTTCTGTCATCAATCAACAATTTTAACAATGTGCCTTTACGCTCTTCATATTGAGTAAAAGGATAAAAAAGGGCGTTAAGGCAGCTTTTCATATTTCCCTATAAAGACAAAAATTAGTGTGTGAGCAAAATTGAATTCAAGCTCTATTGCTTCTCATTTTAAAGTAATCTCTCTCTATATTTGTATTTATTATCAAAGTGGACATGAGTTTTTGTAGCTACTTCCGGAGCTAGATTCGACTGGAGCCAGGATTCGGAACTGTCGGAGCTGGAATCTCAGCACTGTACAGAACCAGTCCAGCTCCGGAGCTGGAGCGGAGCCAAAATTTTAAAGGCCCGAAGCCAACAAATGGCAAATACCCAGCACTGTACCTCTTTTAAAAATGATGATATTATTATAGGTTAGTGTATGAGCAATAATTAATAATAAATAATATATATCATCACAATTAATAATAAATATCATCACTAAACTGTATGAGTTTAGTGATGATATTTATTATTAAGTTGCCTTGGGTAATTAATATTTCAATCCCCTTTGTTAGAGGGTTATTAATATTGGGGGATAGGGGTGATTAAATGTGAATAAATGTGAATCTAAGAAAGGGTAATTAAATGTGAAAGAGTCTCAGGGAAATAATTAAAGATTTCTTAAAGATCGTAAGCTTTAAAATCTAATACTAACACTTGCATGAATGTTGTACACCTTTTCGCAATACAATTGAGCCGTTTCTTGCCTACGCCATTGGGGAAGCGGCAAAAATAATTTATTTAACAACTGCCAACGAAACTTCTTATCTTCTTTCATCCGATCTACTTCACGCGGCACTTTAGAAACCGACAAAATTTGAATAGATTCCAAAATTCTCAACAAAGATTTCGATCCATCATTGTTTGAATCAGTAATGGGATAATAACGGCTACATGTAAAATCTAGGAAATGAATATTTTATCGTTTATATATTACCATTTAATGCAACTGTAATAAGTAAATTACCTGATTTTTCAGTCATTAACTGTAAAAAGAAAAATTTCAAATTTTAAATATAAAACGACAAGCCCACACTTATACACCCGCTCCCCTGCATTATTAGCCAGTATATAACTGATTTTAAATATACATAGGGACCACTATCTATTATAGATAAGGGTGGCTTGATATCTGGAAATACTCGATTGAATATCGGTTCATGATCGGATGATTTCCAAGGAAACGCCAACCTTATTTAGGTTGGTATTTAGGTTGGACCAATCTTATATTAGACATACTTATGGTTTATAAATTTTAATAACTTTATCTGGAATTTTTTAGCAAGATCTGTTAATACCCTTGATATATTTTGCCCATATCTGCCCGCGGATATCCCAAAATATATCAACTATCTATGTCCTCCTGTACCTTTTTTAACTCGCCGCATTCCTTTATTAATTTTGCGAATCTACTCGAAATAGAATTTTCATGGGTTCCATTCTTCCATTCTTCAACAGTTTCGAAATCTTTTCTTGTATGCACAATTTCTTTGCTTAGATCATTTCCAAAATTTTTCAATTCTTCTTGGCAAATTTTATTTAATTTAAGCCAATTTTTGAGTTCGGAGTTTGCTTTAAATTTTGATTATAAATTCAATCTCAATGAAATTTCAGAGCAAAAATTAAAAAGTACCGCTCCAATCATATTCTAAGGTTCCCATTGTCATCTCAGTTTCATACTCTTTTTCGGTATAAGATAAGCACATTAGATTTGAAGATAAGGTGTCGTCATCAGAATCATCACTCGTTTCAGAATCATCACTTTCTTCATCAAAATCTTGGTCTTCATACTCCTCCTCGACAATTCTATCCTCCTCTTCATGCTCCTCCTCAACAATTTTATCCTCATCTCCATTCTCCTCCTCAACTATTCTATCTTCGTCCTCAATTTCTTCATATTCTTCATTTTCCGACAAAATAAATTTGAAATACGTATCCAAACCGAACACATCATTTTTTAAACTCATTCTCTTCAAAATCTTTGCAATTTTAACAAAATCACTTCCATGATGAATTACCACAAGAGTCAAAAATTCTGTTTTAAAATTTTATTATTAAACTTTGATGAAATTCTGATGAGAGAACAGGATTGAGAGATCTAATAGCTTAAAAGATCTTAAAAGATCTTAAAGGATCTAATAGCTTTATTCAACTCCTATTTTTGGTCATGTACATTGTATAACATTATTTATTCTTGCTTCTGTGGGTCAGAAATCCCGATTCATGAAATTGGGAATTAAGTTTTATGTCGGCTAGATCAAGTACGAGATACAAATAAGAATTATTTTAATATACTGTAGTACCATGATCCTTCGGTGTCGGAAGTGACAGGTTCAGATGTCAAGAGTTAGGTCGGGATTTTCGAAGAAAATCGTAGGGGATGGGGTTTTATTTAAAATAGTTCACTACCGTCATATTTGCCCTTTTTTATATATTTTATTGTCCGTTCGGCAATATCCTTGAAGTAGGTCCCACTTCCTACCAATTTGGTTATTTTTAACATCCTCTGTATATATTCAGGAAGTTTGATACTGTAATAAGTTATTTAAAATTATGTAGAATTAATATGTATAATAGGACCTAATATGCTCTAAACTTTTAATAGGACCGTTGAAACAAAAATCAAATATTAAATAAATTTCTACAAGTCCTCTGAAATCTTTCAAATCTCCTAATATCTCTTTAAGTTTGAGGGTTTAAGAGGGATATCGGAGGTGGGCTTAAGAGGCATACATATAATGAGAGGGTATATAAAGGAACGAAGGATGTTTTAATAGGGATAACAATGGAGGATCTAAGAGGGATATTGAGGGAGGGTATAAGAGGTGATGGTTTAAGGGTGATATTGGTGAGTTCACTCTGGAGTCATTTTGGAGTCAAAATCCTTCTAATGAGACATATTGGAATGGTCTCTTTTGATAATAATTTTCAACCATCTACGTCAGGCTATGCAAGAAACATACGTTTTTGATAGGATTTTCATTGTTTATAAAAAAATATTTACCCATTATTATGTTTCTTAGTAGGCTTTGATTTAAAAAATTTCTTCCCACATTTTTTGAATTTATCGCTAAACACTTCAGCATTTGGTTGGAAAGAGCTTACGAGTATTTCAAGTAAGGTGGTTAATGGTATTAATTCCTCTTGAGTGAGAACATTATATTTTTCTTTTAATTTTTCACAGAGTGTATTTGTTTTCTCAGCAATCTAAAAATATTAAATTAACAAAATTAAAAGAAAAAATTAATAAAGATAATATTATAGGGTATTTGTAGGACTATGAATGTTAGTTTTAGAGAGTGATTATAAGTAAAAGCCTGGTGAGTTCGGAATCTTTAGAGTTTCGCTAGTGGATTCCATCTGACACTCCAAAACAGGCAGTACTTTAATGATCTTTTCAGATTTTTATTAAATTTTACAGCCACAGTTGTCATATCTGTACTATCATTCAGGTGTGTTTCTTAATCATCAAAACACCGACTAATTTGGCAGTGTTTTGGATAGTGAGGGAGAGAGAGAAAGAGACAGAGAGAGAGAGAGTGAGAGACAGAGAGAGAGAGAGGGTGAGGGTGAGGGTGAGTGAGAAACAGAGAGAGAGAGTGAGAGACATAGAGAGAGAGAGAGACAGACAGACAGAGATACAGAGAGAGAGACAGAGAGAGAAGGAGGGTGTCACATCTTGCCTTTCTTCCTTAACTTTGAATTACGTACCTTCTTAAATTCATCTTTGTCTAAAGTTGTATTCTTCTCAACAGACTCGACTCGCTTAAATAAAATATTCCAAATCCCAACATTCACATTATCATGTTTAGCAGACTCTTTTTTATCAAATAAAACTGTTTCCAATTTTGAACCCGTAATTATATCATAATGTTCAATAATTTTTTTCAACTCAAAACTTGGACGTGCCAAAATAATTTCGTATAAAATGTCAAAATTTGGTGGAAAAGCTAAAAAATATTTTTGGATTTTTAAAATTAAATCTGTTTAAATTTCACTTGAATACAAGGTGTAACGAAGTAGAAAAGCGAGTGATTCTGTTCTGTCTTTAATCAGCAATTCCAATAATTTAGATTGCTCTTTTGCTATCATACCGTCTTTAAACTCTTCATAGATTGGGGATTCTTTTTTGATACTCTGTTCTTTAAACCATTCAAACAATTTGAATCCTCGTTGTTTATTTTCTGGCAGATTTAATTTTTCAAAAATATATTGAAGACAAATGGACAAATCAGGCTATAAATTAACAAGATTTTTAAATGATTTAGGGACAAAAAAATAAAAAATTTCAGTAAACATTTCTGCTGAGAAATGTTGATTTGACTAAATTATGCCAAAGAAAAGTTAGAAAACCCATATTTTTTAAATCAACGAGGCTTCTGTAAGGCTAACTGCACTCTTAGCCAACTTCACCCGTTGTTGGAACAACAATCTTAATAGAGCAATGGTTCTCAGCTCTAGGCCGCGGGGAAAATTTTGAGATTTTTGGAAAGACAATAAACATGATTCCTCCATTTTGCCCAATTAAGTCAATTCTTAGGGAGCCTTGATCCTCACTGAGCGTTTGGTCGACGTTTCGAGGTCGTGGCCAGCAAATCGAGGTTAAAGCCTCGCCCAACTTCAATTTGATTACACCTCAATTTTTAATCCCAAAGGGTTTTTTGAACGTTCCTATTTAACAATTTCTCATTTTCCCCAATTTAATGGAGGAAAAATATACTATTTTAGTCCAAACCGAATCCTGGGATCAGGATTTCCGGATCAAAATCCGGAAATCCTGAAAGTACTGTTTTTATCAAAATACCAGATGCCAGGACCATCGGATCCAGAAAATCCGGACCCTTTTTCGGTCCAAGTTTAAACTCTAATTTTTATGTAAAAAATCATTCGAGTTTAATTTTATTATAAATTACTTCAACTTCCACTTCCAACTCATTCTTGCAGTATAATAGTGCTGTTTCTTCCCTACGCCACTGTGGAAGGGGCAAAAACAGTTTGTTTATCCAATACCATTTAGTTTCTTCTGATTGTTCCGATGTTTTGATTTCTTTGAGAATTGAAACCAAAGTCTTTCTTCTATCTTTACCTTCAGTATTTGTATGGAAACGGCTACACTCAAGTAAACCGTATGGTGGAAGTTGCGGAACTGAGATTTTTGAAACAAAAATAAATTTAAGGGTTATCGTATTTACAGCGAAAGAGCTTATTTCACCTAATGGGTGCTTCCAGATAGTTCAGACTTGCAAGCTCTCTAGACGCAGCCATAGAAGCCCCTCTCACTAGATTTGCGTTTTAAAAGCTATGGTCTCCGAGAGCTATGGACTCCGAGTTGTGTGCTATATGCATCTAAATTTTGGATAAATCGGCTTCAGTAACTCCAACTTTTTTAGGTGTAAAAATAATTTTTCGATTTAACAAACATTTTAATTATTAAGGATTCTAGGGTTTTCTAGGAGTTTAGGGTGTATCCGATCCATCCCTGATCTACATCGACATAGTGTAGCCAAATATAAGATCGTTTATGTATTAACAGCCTACCATCTTTAGAAGCCCCAGAAGATTCCGCTTTATCATCTCGAGCACAATCACTCAAACAAACAAATAAAATAAGTTTAAATAAAAGAAATAGTTTTAACAGACGCATTGGTCGTTGAAAAACTTTAATAAATTTAGAAAATTTAAATAAGAAGCTGCCTATGAGGGGAGTTAATAAAAAATTATGTAAAAATATGGAGGGGAGCTTGATTGTAGACTGTGTATATAGAGAAAATTTTTAAAAGGCTGTCATTAAAAATTATTAATTTTTAAGGAGGTAAGGCAAGGCAGGATGGGCAAATTTTTTAGTGATGAGGAGAGAGGTTGAGGGGATTTGCTCGATTAAGAGAGGAGAGCAGCGTGATTGAATTTATGGGGAGGAGGATGCGTCGCGAAGTCGCAAGATTTAAATTTTTCTATTTTTGGACAAGAATGTAGTTTGATGCCCATGAAGACAGGAGTTATAGAGGAAAAATGAGTCAGCGGAAAAATGAGAGGGGAGAGCGGGTAATTGAAAATCGAAAGTTGGGGGAATTTATATTTTTCAAGAAGATTTAAGGAATGTTTTTTTCAATTTTTATGTTGCTCAGATGCTATGCAATTTATCAAAGTTGTTCGTGAATATTTGAAAATTTGTTTTGAAAAACTTTTCCTCAAGAAAACTTTGATTAGCATTTCTTACTCATATTAGCGAGAGTCAAAGATATAGATAAAAATATATGTATATTTTGTCTATCTAGCGAATGCCTGAATATTGACAAGCAAGTCTCTCCTTACTCTCAATCCCTCATAGAGGTCGAAGGCCAAGTCTCTTTACGCACTCGCATGAAAAAACACGAGGTGCTGGGCATTTTAATAAACACGTGGTTTTAAATGTTTGTTGAATCCCCTTAAATTAGATGTTTGTTGAATTATTTTATAAACTCCAAGTGAAAGAATTTAAATCTCAAAATGTTTATCAATTACAAATTTAATACAATTCTTTTGCAATGAATTTAAAATTTACTAATTTTTTAAATATTTTGAAAAAAAATTTTTAACACTAGATTGTTTTTCTTCATTTTCAAAAGCTTCCTCGGAATCAAAATATTCTTCAGAAACAGCTGGCTGTTTGTTTTTCATATCCGGCTTTTGCATCTTAACAGTTAAATAGTATTTGATTAATACTGTTTGTAAAACAACACTTATTGGCAATGATGGAAAGGTTCCAGTTCCGGTTCCGGAACCGGTTCTGCAAGTGGAACCATGGAACCAGCAAAGGTCTGGAGGGCCGGAACCGTGAAACCGGTAAAGGTCGGAACCGGCTTATTATTAGAGTTTCGCCTGAAGTTTCGGTTCCTGAAGGTTCCGTTGTTTTTTTTGGCCCGGTTCCGGGAACCTGAATTCAAATTGGACCGGTTCCGGTCAGAAAATAATTAATAAAAAAACTACTTATTATAGCCTCAGAACCTTCCAGAAACCTATATTCTCTT